TTTATTCGATATTGAAGAAATAATCTGAATACTGCGCGTGCAGGTTTCATCTTACTAATTATAAACATATTTACTTTTTAAACAACTAATGGCAGAAATAATTTTTGAATTTGCGGAAAGTATATAATTTTAAATAACTTTTTTGCATTAAATTTTTATCTCAATTTTTCATTTTTAATCTTACAATATATCACAAATACGTTAATTGAGTCAATTGTTTATACAAGCAATTTTAGTGCAAAGTATAATAAAATTTGCCCGCTCTTATTTTTTAAATTTTTTATTAATGCCAGCAAATAAAAACTCTGGTTAAAATGTGAAAATTTGCTTGATAAAAGAAAGAAATGAAATAGAGAAAGAATCAGATGATTTTATACCATTGCTATATATTATATTTAATTATAAGATTTATTATTTGTAGAGAAATTATTTCAAAAATTAAATCGTAAAACATTATCAAGATTAGACAGGATTTTAGAATGAATTTTATTATATTATCACTAATTAATTTGATGCAAAAGGAAAATGATTATTAATTTGTCAGTTGATAATAACAGATTTTGCAATAAATGAGCTTTCTCGTCTCTTAATCTTATTTATATTATTATTTATTGACATTTTTTTATAGTATCTTAATTCGGCTTGGTTTCATAGAGATCGGTTTGCCTTCAAATTTCCGCTTACGTGTCATAAATAATTCTGCAATTTATCGTGCGGTCCTTTGCACGAAACTGTCTGTGTTTGCATATATCAAGGATGAAATACGATGCTGTTAACCGTAACGGACAAGTTTTATGGACTAGACGGTATGAAAAGAAGGAAAGTAGATAAACGGAACGACATTTTTTATTACCGGTAGCGACATTTAAGAAATCTTATCAATGATTAATGTTCAATCGATGGTTGTTTCTCTTTGGATAGTTATTACAACCTACAACGTGCACGTATTCGTTACTTAGGAAATAAAAATGTTCGCGCATAAAATGAAGAAAAGTGGATTTATTTTGCTACAAGTATGATTCGCGAGAATTGAGCAGAAGACGCTGAACTGGTTAAATTGTTGAAAAACTTTTACAATTAATGGAGCATATTATAGCTAATTAATTATTGCTAAATATCTGCTATATATTTAGATGATTATATAAAATTAATAAATGTTTCTTTAATTGCACAATATCTAATTGTATTTATTTTTTATTAAATTTTTCACGTTTACTTTTCTTTTTGATATATGCATATAAGATGTGCCAATGAAAACTTGCATATATTTATTCCCACTTTTCTTCAGATCCATAAAATAGATCTAGTTTGCGTTGAAAAATAGAAGGAAGGAAAAAATTCAAGAGATTGCGCAGGATATCGCTGAATAGAGCTAAATCTTTTTTTACAACTAACGAATAGGAAGTGAAATACGGAACATTTTCGTTTCTTACGATTTCACCGAGAAGTATATACGCGCTGTCGCGTGCACGAGCACGTGTGCATGCTTCCTGGCGTCTCGGAACGACGGCGGGAATTTGGTCCCCTGCCAAGCGCCTGTGTATCCTTGGCGATTGCTTCTTTCACGTCTAGGATGGAATGAAAAGGAGTTATCGGCGGTGAATCTTTTCACGAAAAAGGGAAGGGAAAGAGAGAAAAGTAAGTTACATCACACCATTACGTGATGGTTGCAATTGCTTGAAAGCACTATGGTTCTATTTTTATTCAATAATCTCACGTCTGACATAAGATAGATTAGAATAAATCAGTTCAAAAAAAAAAAAATATATATATATATGTCGAAATACTCATCGTTGCGTTCATTTAAAAATTTAAATCATTAGTTACTTATTCATATTATCTGAGAAAGATCTGAAGAAATAAGGTTTCATGATGTAGCTTATCTTCATGTGATTTAAAAATATTCTTAATGTGTCTTAATGTTTTAAACTTTGTGGAGTTATAGAACATTTATATTATATCAATAAAACAAAATATTAGAAGAAATAAATTAGTAAATAACAGTAAAGAATTTTTAATTAAAGACAGATTTTATTTATAAACAATTATTTTGTTGCGCAAGAGTTGAAAATTTTTGCATCAATATTATAATATAAATTCTGTGATTTGCGTGTTTTTTAAATGTTAAGCAATAAAAAAGGGAGAGCTACAATATATTTAATCAATATAATCAATATAAACTTAAAGCAAGTAACTTGATCATAATTTAAATAATTTTATGCAATACCTGTAAATAACTGAGAGAAGAGTCGCTCTGGATCACTTTGGATTTTTCTTTGGATTCTGTATTGTATCAGTTAGCAGGAGCATCCGTGATGCAAGTAGGATCATCGAGGAAAGATGTTGCGGAGACTGGATATTCGCGCTTCCAAGATAATGCGAATTTTGACGCCGCGTCACATAAACCCGTTTGTTTTATGCCCTCATCTGGTAAGAACAGCGCTGTTCGTCTAGATGCAACAGCAGTTCGCTCTTTGCGTACTTTGCTCCACGGATGGAAAAGGTAGCGTAGCGAGAAATTTTATTAGCCGTGAGAGCAGCGGCTGCAATGTCGGTTCTCCCCCGCAAATGCGTCGTTTGAGTACACGCAAAATTATGATTCGTAAATTACGACGAGTCCGCGCTCGTATGAAAATAGCGAAATGGAATATCACAATACCGCGAAATGCCGTTTTTACGACAGCGCTCTAAGTTTTAATTATTGAATACAGCAATAAAGTAACGATCTACGCGAATAATTTCTGAATAATTTGCATGCGAATTAAATTGTTTAAAATATTAAAGAGCAACATTATGCGAAGCGTACTTTCCATAATAAAAAGAAATGATGAAATGTCTAAAATTTGAAGTGCGATGAGAGAGAAGGTGTGCGCATCGAAAGTATTAAAATTATCAAAAGAAAATTTTATTCTGTTGTGCATTTTATTACGTTCGCAATCTTAATACTACTGATTTTGAAGAATGGAGAAAATTGTAATATATTTCTTTCGAGTTTGCAACAATATGTGAAAAGGTTATTACATATAAAAATTCCATTTTTTTAATGTCAAGTTTGCAACGTCTAGGATTTGCTCGTGGTTGGTAATGTATAAAAATTCAAAGAGAACTAATTTTTTTTCAAACGTGAATAACAAGCAATTAAAGCCATAGTTGAATGAATTATGAAGCAACGCAGCGCTCTGTGAAATGTATATTTGATGTGTATTCTTTATCCGTAACATACATAAACTTTTGCACCCGTTTAAAGTCACGTACGTTTGACATATCGCTTTAACAAATCCAATACTGAAATTTATTATGTTATTAAATATTGATTAGGCAACTTTTTACAGGTAATGAATATACACAAATGTGTTATCTTGAAAATATATCATTACAATGTTCTCAACTGATTTTTATTACCAATATAGTCCATTTAATATATGATTTATCTATTGTTTAATATGCGGTATCATGCATAATAAAACATTTCAACATTACATTAAATCACAATTTTTGAAAAATATATATTCTTTTAAGTAGAGAATTATTAACAAATAGGGACGAGTGGAAACTATTTGATGATCCTTTTTATTCTATCTCGCTTTATATTGATACCGTTAGCATAAAATTTCCTTTTCTATTTGTACTCGTGCATAAATTCGTATATACTTACCCGACAACAAATCCCCATTTCACACAGTTCAATAGCAAGGATACAAGGCCCAAAGTGCGAACATTAATTGGCAACAATTAGCAAACTGTTTCTTCTGTAATATAGGAAGCCTGTCTGTCAATTGTACCAGATGAATCCACTGATTGGGATAAGCAGCCAGTCGCTGATTGCGACGAGAACGCTCGTTACCGGCGACTTTTAGTCGCACTGCGGATTAATTACTTTCGCAACTCAGTCCGCAATGATAATTCTGCTTTTGTGCTTCACGGTGCGTGTGATATGTAAATGTGTTTAAAGTTAAATTCCAAGAGAACAATTAAATTATTTAATTCGCTCGTTTATATTTTTAAATATTTTATATATTATATTTATATATATACACACACACACACATATATATATATATATATATATATGCGTGTGTGTGTGTGTGTATACTGGACTTCTTGGATGTTCACGGCTCAATGTTAAATTATAAATTAGAATAAAAAAAGAAGCATCATTAACTCGTACATTTATTATTGATGATTATAGATACTTTAAATTAAAAATATAAATGTACTATATATATTAAATGAGATCACAGCCTTTCAAACGTAAAAGTAAAAAAAAAACACGACGAAAATATGAATTTTATAAATAAATTTTTACGAATTAATATTTCTTTTTTAAATAAAAATTTTGATAATCTTTTCGGGGCTGAATATAATAAAGACAACATCAAGATGTATGTTTGATCATTATTTTTTATTACTTTATTAAGTTTTCAACATTAACAAGAACAATGTATATTGAGATTATTGGTAACAATTATGGATAATTACGGCAGATAATAATTATAATCTATTGTAAATCATATTAACACGTATCACATTACTGAGGTAAATTGCTTGTGAAAAAATACTCCTAGTTTATTTAAATAACAAAATCATTATGTTACATTGTTGCGGATTTTGATTAATAAATCTTTAATCAATGAACCTTATTGATTTTTTTCACCATTTCGGATTAATACATGACGTGTACTGCGTAATACGATGTGGTAACTTTGTTAATTAGATCGCGTTACTCTCATCAACTTGGGAACTTGACGATTTGCAAATTTATAGATAACAAATAAAATGTTATTATGTTTTTCTACATAGGAATGTTGTATGTATCTTCTTGTATTATTATATTTTTAACATGTAAATTTTCAATGTAAAATTAAAATTTTTATCGAGTTAATCTATTAATATGAAAGCTACTATATAATATATAATATCCGCGGTTAATTGAATGTCTAATAATAAAATTATTCGTGATCATAATGAATAGACTACGATCCAAAATAATCATCTCACTCTTAATCATACAATAGATGTCTGCACAGGTATTTAAGACTCTCTTACTAGATCGCATAAAATCACTCACTGGCTTCAAGGGACATTACTTCGTGTTAGTCAAATAGCGATCGATAAACGGTCCACCATCACAAACTATTGACTACAATACTGGCAACGAAGCGATTGCTTCAAAGGAAACTATCGGCACCATTAACGCTTTACGTTCCTGACATCTCACAAAGTGTTACTACAAAAGAGCATTCCTATACTTGCAAAAGTGTAATATAGCTTCCAAACTTGACGATAAGTTGAGTCTGAATTGGTGCATACAATTATGGAAAATACAAATATAATAGTATTTAATTCTTTTGCGAAAAATTTTTTAAATATTTCTTTTATCGTTGTAGAATTTTAGTTGAATTATAAAATCGAATTAAAACTCCATATTTTACTATATGGAAGTGACCTTATTTTAGCTATATATTTTCTAGAACTCATGTTTTGACAGTCTTACGAAATTATCAGACGTCTTTTCAAAGCATATTATAGAAAATATCTTCAAAATATTCCTGAAATATTTTAGTAGTAGATGGTATTTTTAAAAATTTGTAAAATATATATACATATACATATTTTCAATTATACTTCCAAAATATGACAAGAATATTTCCAAAATCTGTTCTCTCCATTTTAAATGTAAAACTATTTTCTTTCATAATACACATAAATATTTTCAAACAAAAAAATTATTTTATAAGATTCTTGATACATTTCTATAATATCTTCAAAATATTTTCTGACATATATATTGTAGCTTTCTTCCAAAAATGTTTTCCATTAATTAATGACAGATTTATTCACTGTCAGAGACACAAGTGTTTTCACTCTGTAATCGCTCTGTGTCCGTATGAATCTCGCCATTGTCAGAATAAGACACTTTGCTGTATTTATGTTTCGATTTGCGTCTACGGATGTACCAGACGACTAAGAGGTAAATGATGCTGACAATCATGAAGCCCAAGATGATCAGGAACACTATGGTCATCCTATAGAACCATTCCGTGGACTGCATCTTCCAGGTAAGGCCGCTCAGTGCACATAATGTTCTTCCGTTGCTCCACGTAAATACCGAATCCAAATGGCAACTAACGCAGTCAGCGTCGCTGGGCCCTTTGCATGACAGGCACGAATAATGGCACGCAATGCAGAATACACCAGATTTGTTGTTATCCCAGACCACGTAAGTCCCGGACGGACACTGTCGTAAACAGCTGCCATCGCTGTGGTACCAACCCGGTTTGCACACTGAAAAATTAGATATACCATTGACGCTCTTCATCTTTGTCCAGTCGTGCTTGTATTATGTTGTTGCTATTGGAGTGTGATGCATTATATTACTGTGTCGCGCTCTCGAGTTGATTACATGTCGTTATGACGAATGTAAATGTGAATATATTGTATAAGAAAAAATCGTATTGAAATTCAAACAATTGGAGGATCATAGAATTTTTCTCATAAAAAATTATTATTGCCTTTTTTGTTCATTGGAATTCGTCGTAATTAATTTTTTCGATAGTTAAATGCATAGTTTTGCGTTAATAAATTTAACTGCAATATGCTAATAAGCTAATGAATATATAACGTGACTAATTATATAACGCATAATTAAGTGTAGTGTAAATTTATAATAAAAAATATATATTATATATACAAATACATATATGTATATAAATAAAATATCTTAAAAGTAAGTGATACCTTCGAAATTTAAAATTATTCAGGTATGTGCGGATTAGGCTCTGGCGAATGCCGAAATTTACTAATTTTTAAAATTATTCCTGCAAGGTTTTGTCCAACTCATATTATATATTGACTATTAAAATAAATTAAATATTATTATTTTAATATAAATTTTTATAAATGTAAAAATTAAATTATTTGTTACAAAAATTGACCTGCTTTCTGTTTTTAATAGAATTTGTTTTACGCGTATATGCACACGTTCTATATGCACATAAAATATTCAATTAAATTACTGTTACATAAACAAATTTATCAATAATAATTGTCGAATATTTGTTTCTATAACTGATTAATTGAATATAAAAGAACCATTAATTAAAATGATTTATTTGAAATAATCAATTTGTTTGATTCGCCCAGGCCTAAAATATGTTCGCACTTATAGCTTAGAAAAACATAATTTTTTAAAAATAATATTAATTTCTTTTACAATTAAAACAAAAATTTAAGAAAATAAATTAATCTTTAAATATAAATGCAGTAATAATTTAGCAAAGCCTGTATCATTTTCAAAAACTTGCAAAGCATGCGGAAGCATATGTGTCATGCTATACTCCATTTACAAATCATACGTAAACATAACAAAATAATATTTAAAATCTTGGCCGTGTCCAAGTAAAAATTTGGTGCCTTGTGCACCGGTATTTAATTCTAACGAAAAATTATTTAGTTTCGTTAGGATAACGCATTGTCATCCGCGATTTGGCTCTTGTTGTCCGTCTTATACGTTAAATTTATATTTATATTACAGAGCCTTGTTAAAACTCTTATAAAATAATATTTATCTGAACGCGCAATATATCAAACAAATAAAATGCATACATAGATACTATTTTATTACATTTGCATGTGCAACTTTTATTCTATGCAACAATATAAACTTACGAAATTTATCAATTTTATGTACACACATGCACACACATACATACACAAATGTACACATCCGTAATAATTTTTATATTAATATAAATAAATTATATCGCTATTTATAATATTTATTTATGCATTATATATACAAAATCTTATTTATAATATTTATCCGTACAAATTAAAACACGACAAAAGGATAATGGAATATTGATTAAACACGCGCGTCATAATATTTTACATTAATTCGAATGTTTTTTTTACCGTCAGCATTCTTTATAATTTCATAGTTATTTCTGCACAATATTCATAATAAAGAATGAACTAAATAAAATAGGAAAACACCATTATCCAAATATTTTATTAAATTAAATGATATACATACATTAATTAATTGTTTGCTAATATAAAAAAAATATAATAAATATAAAAGAATATATTCTCTGGCAGTATCACTCTCTCTTGACACACAATATAATTATTTAAAAAAAATAAAATAGTGACATAAAAAACATATTCTTTAACATGCGAAAATATTTATAACATCGACGATTCAATCATGCTCTGTTACTTTATATTTTTAAAACGAAAATAAACCACCACGTGCGTATGAAAACATCCTCACACGATTAATATTATCGCATTCGATAACTATCGATCATATAGATTAATAATTAATGGAATAATATTGTTTATTATTTAGCAATAATAATTGTATCAACGCGATATTATAAGCATAATTTAGCTACCAATAATAACTTATAACAAAATAATAAGTGTGAGGATCTTTTAATACGGAAAATAAAAGCAAAGGAAAAACGCGCAGAAACATGAATAGAGAAAGCAGCATTAGCAAAGAAAAAAAGGAACTATCTCTCGTCAAAGTACATGAAACCTGAGGGATGTCTATTTCTTGGAAACCTTGCGGCGAATTCCAAATTATATGGACGCTTTCCCTAATAATCCGGATAATTAATTGTTAACACTAACAATAAGTAAAGTTTCAACTAATTAAATTCATCGGATATTAATATTGTGAAGTTATATTACGTATCGAGACGCTTATGATCGTAATGTAAAATGTGAAATATAGTGCAAAATTACCCAGATAATAACAATTCGTAAATAGCGGTATTTATTATCAATAATACATAAACTTTCTCAAAAGGAAATCAATCTAAATGTTAACTTATAGTTTTCCGTAATATTTTAACTCTTAAATTAAACTTGATATCTAATTATTAATTTTAACTTGCTTTCTTATCAGCGTTAACAATTCATTAATGATGCTTCGAATTAAATTCCTACTAAAACAAGAAATTATCATGTGAAGAAAAAATTCAGAAGAGCACAAATCTTCTTCGGGATACTCTACATGGAAATCACGGAGAAGTTAGAATGTACAATTTAAAAAAGATATTTCTCTATCGCTCACAATCAGATATCCTGTACTTTCGAGAGTAGTAAATAAATCGCAATAAATAGAGGATTAAAATAGAGGATGCAAATATAGAATGAAGAAGAAGTAAGACTCACCGTGCTGGTGAAGCAATCAGGGATAGGGCTGTTTGTTTTTGTGTTTGTGTGCAATTGTGGATGTGTGGATGTATGGTTGTGGTGATGGTTGATGGTGGTTGATGGCTGGTCTGAGAAAGTCCGGCACTCTTGCCCCCACGGAGAGCCGAAGTACCTAGATACGTTTTCTGAACCTGCTATGGGATAAAGGGGATGAAGCGACATACGCGTGACAAGTTTGAGACGATTTGTGTCTCTCTGTTCATATTTCACAAATAACTCAATTTCCGCGTGACGTCCTTGGATCAAGGAAACTTTTCTTTTTTTTTTTTGGATTATGTTGTCCGCACAAGATATATTGCATTTTGGGAAGTGCGATTATAGGAACATCCTATTGACACGTCGACATGTAATTTTGTCTTTTACTGAAGAGAAAAAAAAATAAGGAATTTGTTTTGAGAAATTAGAGAAGAAATTAGTTATTTAAATAACTAAGTTTATTGTACTAAATTTTTTGATATTGAAAAAGTACAATTCTATTTCCTTATTCTTAATAGCCCTAGAGACGAAAGACTTATAAAAGAGAGATTGCGTACTCATATTTCGTATGAGACTAATAAAATTATAGATCGAAGTAGAATTGTTGGCTGCGCGTAAACAAGAATATTGAAATGGAGAGAGTAGGTCGGTGATATTCGACTTAATGCTTGAACAACCCGACCAAACTGATTCATGGCGTTGATGAGTTCTCGATAATACACTAGAAATCAGGACTGTCCGACTAGGAGATGTTTGCATTGGTTAATCATCAAATCCCTAACGGTTACTGCAGCGTGATTGATTAATTGTCGCTGTCCCAGTAAGAACACGACAATAGATAATTGTACCAGAATCACATTGTCGCAAATTTATATATGTAGTTTCAATCTCTATATTTGCTTTAATCAAAACGGATTAATGGATAATTCTAATAAAGGAAGAATTCCAAAAAAGAATAAAAAGTACAACTGTAAGAATAAATTGCGTTTTTGAATAATAATACTTTGATTAAAACAATAATTTAAATAATCGTGACTATATATAATAAAATATATATAACTCATAATAAGAATACATTTATTCTTTAAAACGTAAATAAATATGTATCCTAATCATTTTTGTGTTATATCTTTCCAACGTCAGAATGGAATAGTTTGTTAGACTGAAAAAAGTGTCACGGCGAGAAAATTAATTTTAGCAGATAAGCTGTGGATTAAAAACACAAAAGTCAGCAAATATGTCACACACATGCAAATACGTACATATATATTTGTATCATTTACCTCAAAAAGGATAGCAAAGAGTCGTCGAATTTCATGAAATTTTCGTCACGTGGTGCAAATATACTTAAACGTAGGACGGTCGAGAGTGAATTAGAAGACGCTTTGAGATTGCCAGTAAGTGCAATACAAACACATTTGCAGAGTGCATCGCATGCATACGCTGCACAAACAACAGCAATGTTTCGAATGAAACATCGTGACACAATATTTCGAAAGCAACCAATAGAAACCATGTACTTCAAGAATATTTAAATAAAATTAATTAAATTTTGCAATGCATTAATACTCGAATGTTAAAAAAATTTTCTGCGCGACTTTTAGTTCTACTTATTATTATTATTGCGTTTTATGTGATATTATTAGTAGCTTCCCAGATATATCTGTATATTTGATCTAAATTTAAAAAAAAATCAAAAATCTAATATTACTAGAATTTTATTATACGTGCTAAATGACATAAACTGAGATCGTATAGTAATTTTTGGAGTTTACTAGTTAAAGATTATTGAATTATTCATAAGAAGCGAGAAAACGATAGTAGTTTCTTATGCAGTAAAGTTAAATTAAACTTTATACTGGTGTTCGCACTTATTTAACATATTTAATATTTTTTCTTATTTAACATGACTCTCATTTATTTCTTTAAGTTCTCTTTTTCCTTTTTTATTTAAACCTTTTTTTCTTGCGAAAGAACATGCCAATTACTGGCTACATTGTATTATAATTGCATGCACTTCGAAAGAATAAAGTTGCATGCACATTTATAAGAGTTCATTTATCATGCATTGTTATTTTTAA